GGTTTGCATCGTGCAGCAAATAAAAAAGGTACTGCTGATTCAGTCTGAACTGAGAATGCTCTGAAAGCAACCGACATTTGATAAATTCAGCAGAAGAGAGTTTAGTTTCTCTGGAATGAAACTGGCCAAATTTACCTTCGGGATACAAATCAGGGAAACAAAGCACGTCAATCTCTTTGTTTTCATGACTAATCGGAGGTTCATTCACTTTCAGCATCTTATAGAGCTCGGTGTCATCACTATAAGATTTTGATTCATGAAGAGCGTGGATTGTATAGTGAGACTCTTCTGAATCCCATTCCTCGTGAGTTACCTGAGTTAATATAGCACGTCTATGTAGTATTTCCTGAGGTGGCAGTTCGTTTTGATGGGTAGATCGAAACAAATTTGTGTCATCATTAAGGTTGAAGAGTCCTTCTGGATCTGTAGGTAGTACTATGCTACCATAATGAGCGTTGTTTTTCTTTAAGAAACTTAAGGCTGCGTGTACCTTATCCACACTAACCAACATTTGCCAAACATTCTTTGCTTTGGTTGGTACCCCTCTGACCAAAACGTACAGCTCGTGGTTTGGATTCAGAGGGTCACTTGGTTTGGGCAATTTTTGCAGGGTTTCTTGAAGGGGTAGTGGCAAATGAAAACTTCTTCCCACGACTTTGGAAATTTGTTGCTGAGCTCGACTTGTTCTTTTTCCAACTGTGTTCATTTTTGTAACACTGAAATGCTTTGGCTCTCTGAATTAAAACTTTTTCATAACTGTTAAGGCAAGTTAGCTCTTTCGGCTGCGCACAAACATAGAGATCGTTAAGAATGCAAGTAGGAGGCATCTGACCTTTCCTTCGTTTTTCAAGGCAGCCTCGACAAATCCATCCCGTTTTGCACTCTTCTTTCTTTATGTCTTTTATTCTTTGCCATATGTGTCCTACAATTTGATTTTTTAGGTTTTTCAACAGGCTTACTTGCTGTTTACTGAACAACTTATCGCATGAGACACAGGGAAACACTGGCGTTTCAGAAGAACGCTTCTCCAATGCCTCAAATGCTTTGTGATATTTTGCAAACAACTGAGACTCAGATTCAGGGACCTTGCTTTCACTTGTGTCATCTGTAAGAAAGGCTTTTGTTTGCTCTTTAAATTCCCTTTCTATCGAAAACAACACGTTCGCCTGCACGTTAAGAATGCCATTTTTAATTAGCATAATCTTCTTAGCTATTTTCAACAGTCGGTAAATTTTGGAGACAAGACTACGAATTGCAGGAAAGTGAGGATAGATTGTTCTCAGAAAAGGAAGTTTCGAAACACATGCTCCTGAGTAACAGTCCAAAGAGTGAGGATGAACACCTACACGAGATGATACACCACTTTGACATGAGTGCTCTCCCATGCTGACAATAAGCTTAGAACCTTTAGTGAGAGAGCTTGAAACTATTTCATTGTAAAGAGATTTAAGTTGCTCTAAGTGGTCAGGCTCAATGAAGCATATATCTGAGTTGCATTTCCACTTTTTCTTTGGTGAACTATGAGCTGTGCTGGGCTCGTTACCAACAGTTATTTGTTTACCAGGAAACACTCTATAGGTAAACTCCCAGAAATAAGGCTCCGACGTGGAAACATGAAGACTGTGCCCACACAACGCATCAACATTGTCCTCAAACGTGCTTGTTGCAGATAGCTTAGCAAGAGACTCTTTAGCACGATTTTGCAGGCTAACAAATAGCTTAAGGAAATTGTTTTTGTAATTTTTATAAGCATGCAACACCCATTTCAAGAGCTCTTTAGCCCTTAGCAACCTTTTAGTATAACCTTGTTCAGGTATTTTCTTTGCTATAAGTCTGGCTATTTTCTCACAATTTATTTTCCCCAAGAAAATATGTAAAGCTGCAACACTTTTTTTGGTTTTCCTTTTTGCATTTTTTACTGATTTTCTTTTCCCATCAGATCTATTTAAAAAGCGTCGGCTTTGATAGGCTGCACACTTTTGCACCCTTTCGTGAAAAACCTTAAGTTTATATCGCAAGCGAAAGTGGCCAGGGTATTTAGCACGAAGTACTTTGTAACGTCTCCTGCGATTAGATTGTTTCATTTCTTGTTTTGCACCGTAGTTTAAACGTTTTTTAGCTTTATAATTTTCTGGATCAGTAGAGTATTTCTGACGCACTCTAGCCTTGTGTGGCTCAGGATTAGCAAAATATTGCTGCCGCAACCTAGCTCTGCGAGGTTCAGGATTAGCACTGTACTGCACACGTTTTCTTAACCTCTCAGTTTCAATATTAGCTAGATAACGTTTTCTCGCTTTGGATTTTTCTCCTTTAGCATGTTCAAGGTACCAAGCTTTAAAAGTTGAACTCTTATTAGTGGATTGTATGCTAGCTTCTTCTGTTTTTCTTTTTTTTTATAGCAGGGGCGTTATCTAAATACCATTCTTGTTTTCTTTTTCTTGCCAGTCTTTCTTTAGAAGGCATACTGATGATAGATTAGATTGATAGATGGATTAGAAAGAAAGTTTAATGCAATTAAAACATAGCCATGGTATCTTACCAAATGGTCCTAAGAAATGTTCTCAATGTTCTTAAACTAGATCTCTTCACTACACATAAACAATGCTGCTCTTTTTGTAAACATGAAAAAGACAACAAACACGTTTTATTTACAGCTGTTAAAATTATTAATACAATGTTAAAAGACTTAGTTAAATAATTTAGCTAGTATCCTAGTATATAATTATATAGAAACATATGTATAAAATGTGATTGCATCTGGTGGCCTACTTAGCACCAATTTATAGTTGACTTAAAATTTGGGCAGAAATTAACAATTTTTAAGTTTTTTTTTAATTTTTTGTAGGGTTATGTTTAATTTTTTTTTTAATCCCAAGCAGTTATATATTTTATTCTTTGCACTTTATATTTCATTGCTAAGATTTAATTATGATTTAAATGCTTATTGTTGTGAGTTCAATTGTAAATAAAGGTGTTGAAATTAATAGCCCTCTGTTTTAACGTTTTTAAAGCTTTTACCAACTTAAATAGAATTCAACCTAATATTGAAGTGAATTCCAACATTACTGGCAATGCGTTGGTGTTACATAAGTGTTCTGATAATTAAACCCGTATATCTAAAGACTAGTGTAAATTGAGCCCTTGGGTGACTTTCTACAGCCAGTTTTAACGTCTAGAACTGTGTGCAAAACCTCCCATTTCCCCATTTTTATTTGTCACGAATAAGTAGACATTTTAATACTAACTATGACGATTGCATTCATAAAATCTCAAAACATATTGTAGGCTACGGCAATATTGTCCTAAAAGCTGTTTACTGACTTTCTAAAGCCATATTAATGTATATAATTGTGTCCAACTAACTAACTTTCAATTGCGTAATATTGTTTTATTTGCTGTGCTATTGTTCACAAAGTTGATCTATGTGGAACTTAATACTACTCCTGCTATCGCTTATTAAGTTTAATAAAATCTACATTGATGTGTGTTTAAGACATTGCGTGTTTTAGGACGAAATGTACGTTTAAATTTATTTTTCCAGGGTCCAAGGAGGGGGAGCTTTAGCCCCTGTAGCCCCCCCCCTTGGAACCGTCACGGGGGGAATATCTCTGCTCTAAGTAATTTTATATAGTAAGTAGTTCAAATCATTCGGTATACCTGAAAAAAATACTTTATAAAAGTTTTAAAATAATTATCAGCTGTTCCTATAAATTTCTCTAACATTTAAATTTATTGATATTTAATCGCAGCTGGTCCTTCTTTTTATTTTGATTTGTTTTGATTTTAATCCCATGTTATTTAAATGGGCAAAAATCGTACTTTGAGGGCTTGCCAAGGGTTTATGGGTCAACGTACCGACTTGAGACCCTCAAAAGGCACATCTACACGCTAAGGGCTTTCACACAACATAAAGAACATTAAAATTGAGCCAGTGGTTTGGGCTGTAGGTCCGTCAACATTTAAGGAGAAGAAGGAGAACACGGAAAATTTGTGAATTTTCAAACTAGTTTTTCTTGGCTCAAACACAACCGTTTTTTAAATCCTTTTTTTTATTTTGTTGAGAATGATTGCCCCTATCCAGTAGATGAACAATTATTTTAATAGCTTTTGTTTCTTCAGAGCTATAGACGAGTAAAAAAGCCACTTTGTCACGTCATGTATATATACACTGCAGCAGCTGTGTACCGCTGGGGGACTTGGCGGGGCGGAACGCTGCCGCGTTCCTTAATCGTCGTAGTGTGACCAAAGAAGAAAACAGTAAAAATTTCCGTTTCAAACCTCGGCATTTGTAAGAAGCTAGACAAAAATATTTTGTTTATTTACGTTTTCAAACAATTACAAAAAAATTGTTGAATGTGGACTGTTAATTAGTTTAGTTACAGTTGTATTATTACTCAAAAGGTTGTTAATTTGATCTACTTTGATTCTTTCACATTGTGTTTGTGCATTGTAACACATGGCATGCATGCAATACAGTGAATGTATTGCAAAAATGTAACAGTTAAGTTTATATAGCATATTTAAAGTCAACGGATGGACCATTTGAACCAAAATAACTTAATAAAGTGATCCATAGTAATACATATACAGTACAAGAAAATATTTGGTTTTAGCACAATGTCTACAAGCAAAACTAATTTTAAAAGCGTTCTGGGTCATTAAATGATTGTTGCAATGCTACTCCAATGCTGAGGGCCCCTCCGTTGACCACCAGTGGTGCAAGAAGTCCACTGAGGGCCAGTTTGTTTTCAATGTCATATTCTCGTGACAGGGTACGATCCAGTTAGACTTTATATTTATAAGTTACATCAATGGATATAACTAGACCTACTGACTTTTTCCAGAATTGAACCGGCATCCTTCTCAGATAAGCATTAGATAACCACCACTTATTTTGAGTGTGACGAAGCTATTGTACTTATTGTATTTAAGGGTAAATAAAGACTTATGACTTATGATCAAAGGACCTTTAGCTTTGCTTACCAGAAAGAAAAACTTACTTTTTAACCAGCAAAATTCCCCCAACAAATGTAGGGTAATGGTAGCGGGGGTGTAGTTCTGGTGAAGCAATGTGGAACAGACCGACACTAGGGTAGTTGTATGACAGGCTAGGGTTGAGTGGCAGAAGGTCTACATCATGCATGGCTATGTAGTCGCAACCTTCCGCTACTGCCACTAGAAACCCAATGTTGATGAGGGAGGCCCTGTTAAACCTGTACTGGTCCACCTACAACAACGAATACGTTAGTTATTTGTGTAACTAGTGTATGAAGTGGCATTTTTCTGCACAGAGAAATGTTTACGCATGAACCGCAGGCGAGTGTGGAAAGTTTCTTGAGCGCAGCAAAGGCACTTTGCACTTGCGTTACACATTATATTTTTCCTACAGTTACTATAAAGTATATAAATAATTAGTCTTTCAAACACTATACAACACGTTTTTAGGATAGGTTAAATCCAAGCGTTGAACAAAATGGGAGACGCTGCACCAACTGATCGAAGTCGTAGTATCTTTAAGTGTACGCGTAGGTATTACGTGCCTGACAAAAGCCCACTGTTTTGTGTTGTTTGGTTGAAGTACTGGAGTGCGGCAACAAAAATGAGTGCGGCAAAAGTAATTAAATGCAGCAATTAGCTACTTTGCGTACTATAATCAGTGCAAGGAAGCCGGCTTTGTCAGGTAACTGTAGGAAAAAAAAATATTGACTTACTAATATATTTGTAAAATATATGAGCCCGACGATTCCATAGGTACTTTAAAGAAAAATATAACATTTAAAGATATTGAAGTAATTGGTTTATTTATTGGATCAAGAGCAACTTTATAGCAACTTGCTTGTGATAGAGCAAGAAGAATGTAATTTATTTAATAAATTATCTTTATATAGCCTATAGACAGGCCTACTTAGTTAATTATCTCATTCAACAATCAACAGTATAGAACCGTAACCAGTTGGTCACTGGCCATGGCTTCCTGAAACTGCACCTGCATTGCTTGAGGAATGTGGGCATTCAGAGGAGACAGCAAATCACCTACTCTACGACTGTAAAGCTCTGAACGAGATAAGGAACAGTACTCTTGGAGCAATGACAAGGGGCAGACACCTTCCTCAGGAGGAGCTCATAGATAGGATGCTGAAGTTCATTAAGCAACTAAGGTTTGACAGACTACCATGTGGGGAGTACAAAAAGCCCATCAGTGGCTGACATGCAACAGGACAAGGTCCGCCCCAACAGAATCAATCAATCAATCAATGCTGTTAAGAATGTTAAGGACCATCACATACTAATTTCAATCAAAACCGTTTTTTTTCCAAAATAATATTTTCTCTTACTTTATGGGTTTTTAGATGGGAAAATTGCATAATTTACAACAACTTTTGAACCATAATTTTTACAGAAATGGGATTTGTACCATTTTGTCCAGAATTTAAAGGACTATAACATACAAAAATTGTATCAAAATCGTTCGGGCCATTTTCAAGAAAATCCAATATTCCTGTTATTTTATGGGTTTTATGTGAAAATCACCATTAAAAATAAAAATTTCAAAAAAATTAAAAATAAAACGCTCGGAGATAGGCCTACTATGGATTAGTACCTACATACCAAGTTTCATCAAAAGAAGACTACAGGTGCGGTCTGTAACTCTGTCAGATCCACACATACAGACACACACACACACAAACATCATTTCAAACACCAGTTTTTTTGGGTTCAGAGGGACCCAAAATGGACATATCGACTCAAAACTCAAACTCGGAAAATTTTGACGAAAACAATAGGCCTACTTTCTCCATATACTCTGTAAAGGGGGAGGAAGTAAAAATCTAGTAAGTTAGTTGTTACAGATGTTTACTAAAAAGTATTAAAAATAAAAACAGATAAGTTAGACCTATAACTAAAGTATGCAAAACTTATAAATTGAGAGTGCATACTGCCTGAAACAGAAATGTAATTTAGATCCTAATTACAATCACAATTTTCTGGCCTAATAATCTCTAGTACTGTACTATATTTCCCAAAGTTTGTAACGGTACGTCACTGATATGAAGAAACGGCATTTGGCTTTTTAGTCGTAATAAAAAATCCTAGTGAAATTACCTGATTGATGATATAAATCTTGTGATTAATTCCTTGTTTAGATATAAAATCATGAATGTGAGGAGCAAATTCAAGCAGTTCTTCAAATCTTTCTCGGAAAGGCACAATGACTCCAAGTTTATGTTTAGGATTAAACTTTGATTTGCTCCCAGGAATATCTCGTTTGCAATTGCATTCTTCTGAAAAATCAAACATTTACAAAATTTATCAATTAGCACATGGATAACAAGCACACTAACAGACTTGAAAAAACACAAAAAGGTAATTTTTAAAGATGGTTAAATAGCCTACTTTTGTTCTTTTATATGGGATGGTCTTTGGGGAAAAACCAACTCATATTTAACAGTTATCTGTTCACGGGCACATTTGCTTTGGTGCAGACGACCATCTCCAGAGCAGTAACGGAGCATTACAAGACCTAGTAAGCATTACTAAAGGGGCCCACTACCTAGGCGTAACATATTAAAGGAACATTTTTAAATAAGCTTTGTGCCCACTAGTCAAAAAAATTGTAGATTTTTAGTGACATTTGACTGTAAGAATTTCTTACAATATGTGCAGTTTGTCCATAAGTTAGTAAAAGAAGGGCATTCTTCAAATACACAGTTGACTGTGAAATTGGTCAGACAGTGGTTTAAACAGTCCAGTTGTAGTAATAAGGCTTAGTTAAATTATTGGGCCTTTTCACACTGCACAGCACTAGCAACACTATTTATTGTGGCACGGCCACATTTAACTCGAGGCTGCGGCCTGGTAGAATGGGCAACGTCGCAAGTTAGTGTTGTTCAGCGCCAGACGCCCCATAAGATAACATGGCAGACAGATGACGCCAGCTCATCTTAAATGAATACAGGTATTATTCATTTAAATTTAATGTAAATAAATGTGTATTAAAAAATTGAAAATAAAACATAGAGTACATTTCCATATCTGTTGGCACAAACAACCGAATGAGTAATAATGATTATTCGATTGTTTAATTCGATATATCGTTTGGTTAGTTAGGTTTAGTTAACCTTACCCAACTAACCAAACGATATATCGATCGATATTTTCATTCGGTTGTTAGTGCCAACAGATATGGAAGTGTACCCAAAACATACAAGTTAAGCAATAAATTAAAAACCAAAACAATATCATTTGATATTTTATATTTCTGTACATTTAAAATAGTCAATATTTTCATAGCCCAGTAACCAAGCTTTCGTATTCTTAAAAAATACACAAATCCCATTCGCTGCCTCCAAACAAAACAGCTGTAACAACACTCCTTGCGGCGTGCCACTTCGAAGGCCGCGGCCTACAGTTAAAGGTTAATGGTGGCCATGCCTGGGGCCTGTTCATAATTAAAAAAAACTACAAGTTACAAATTGTAATAATTACAATTAACTTATCGTAAGTTAACTTTTAATTTCCATTAGATCTGCATTGGGTGATTAGCTGATTTACTAATAATATTAGTTTGTAGTTTAGGCCTATTAGCACAGAAAACGTACTACTATAACCCAGAATGCCAACCGCATGGTAAAAAGCATTAAGCGGTTTGAGAGAGCTTTGCCTGTCAATCCGTAGGCAGCGCCACCAGCGTTACCATGCAATAGCATAGCAACGCTGGTGGCGCTGCCTACGGATTGACAGGCAAAGCTCTCTCAAACCGCTTAATGCTTTTTACCATGCGGTTGGCATTCTGGGTTATAGTAGTACGTTTTCTGTGCTATTAGGCCTATGAAACAGGCCCCTGATCATGAGGACCCGTGTAGTATAGAAACAACTGTCGTCAGTGGTCATGCTTTTGTTGTGGTGCAGTCAAGTGTGAAACTCCCAAATGGTACAATTTTATTATTCCAGCAGATCAGGGGTTCATGCCCTCATCTACATACTTGGCTTAAATTACCTACTTTTGTATGGCCCCATTTCAAAGTTAAGAATTTAAGTATTAAAAGAATAAAATTAAGTATAAATTTACTTGTTCCCTAGGCCCTATCACTGCACCAGGCAACATAAATGTTTAGGCTCCAGGACAATATTATGTTAATTGCTAGGCCTACCAAAGGCCTATGTAAAACATAAGTTACACATAGCCTAAGTTAGGCCTGTCTTTGTTTACCTGAGGGCAAAGATGAAATCGCTATAAAACAGCCAATAAGAAATATAATTGTTATACAAAATAAAATAAACTTTACTTTGTACATTCCACTACTTCTATATCCGGATAATAGCATGACTCTTTATAACATATTTGTACTCAAACATATCTCATATTATTGAATAAGAGTAAAAATACTTCACGTCTAGTTTTTCGTTTTCAAACATAATATCAAGTCATAAATTTTGAATCATAAATCTTTAAATTACGCTGTAATTTTAAATCTTATGCCCTAATGTTAATAACAGAACACGATGCACACTGCACAGAGCCCCACACCAGCACAAATCTGTGTCAAAACAAAACAAACCTGCTGTTGTTGTTATTTAGCAGAAGACAAAGCTTTTTTGACAGACCCAGTTTTTCTAGAAGCTATAGGCAGTCGTGATTTCATAGCATCAGGCGTAGCAATGATTTCGAAAGTAACTATTATCATAGATAAAACATACATTTGTTTCCCGTTATTACAGCCATTTAAAACCTCGTTTAACCAAATAATACGATCTAATCATAAACAATAACTTGTCCCCTAGTTATATAACCAAACAGTAAAGCACAAATCAAGAAATTAACCCTAAAATAATAGAAACAAAGTTTTGTCGACACTAGCGCCCATGTGTCACGTACATGAACTAGACACGAAAAACATGCTTCAAAATTTACAATGGGATGAGAAGTCTACTTGTGTTGGTTAGTCTATGATGCTATTATCATAGATCTATTATCAATGAGATCTACAAAATTAAATACAGTATTTAAGGAGGATTGAGTGAGTAATGTAAAGTATATCCAGTTTAATATATATTTTTTATTTGTTTACCTTACAATCTGTTCTATAATATGTCAAACAATAATTAAATGCCATGCAATACAACAAAGTAACTTTTGAGCACTAAAAATAGATGTTAAGCAGTTTCATTAATAAAGCAAACATTTAGATACGGTATATATGAACTACTGCTATAGTATAGTTAGTCTCTGGTACTGTCCATATTTTTATATTTTCACTCTCATGAAATAAAAAAATGATTATTTTATTTTGAATATCACACCTTGAAGAGGGGGATATTTAAATTAACATTGATTATAGAATATGAGTTTGACTACTGTAATTAGCTTTCCAAAAGTCTATTTGAACTAATGTATGTTTTATATTTGCTAATATTCACGCTTTTACCTCGGTGTTCACTTTCACAACTTTTCATGTTAAGCAGCGTAAGTGGTTAACCTTAAACTTAATGGTAGAGATTCGAAGTCATGATCGATGCTCCTAGCATGTGGACACCCTTTTATAAATTTTTTATATGACTCTTCGTATACTCTGAATTTTCTATTTAGTGTTGACTTTTAACGAATTTTCCATATAGGGAATAAGCTATTACCGTAATACTCATGGTGAGACCTGGACGCGGGACCGATTTTTTTTTCGTTTTGAGGTCCCTAGAGGGTGTACCTTATCCAGCAGGTGTTCACCTTTGAGATTTAAGTTAAATTTAACAAGCTGGCCTTTCTCTCTATGAAAAATTAGAACTATGAGTTTTAAATAAGAAAGTGCAATGGTAAGATATGAGACCTGATTAATGGTTGTATTTCTATGGGAGCACGTTAAGGTGCCACCACGACACACAAGGATAAAAACGTCGATACATCGTCTATTTATGGTAATACAGAGAGCCAGAATACATATTACAATAATTATCGTATCCTACCTTAAAATATCTAAATATCTGTTTTTAAGTATGACTGACTGAAGCGAGCAGCTGATACCGTTCCCACAATGCAACATTCTCAATTATAAGCTATGCCCCAAAATCAGAATTATAAGGTATCACAAAAAATCAGGATTATAAGCTATAGAACAGAATCGGAACTATAAGCTGCGCCACTATTTGACCATTATAAGTTGTGAAACTTAAAACGTTTCATACCTTATAACGTATTAGAGTAAGTGTGGCATAGCTTATAATTTTTCGTGAATATGTGGCATAGCTTATTTTTATAACTGATTATAAGCTATGCCTCATTTTCAACATTATAAGCTATGGAACAAATTCACGATTATAAGCTATGAAATTATAAAGTAAAGACCCCACGCCCCCTAGAGTCCAAAAACACCATCAGTTCAAATTCATTATATAATTCATTAAATAAATAAATATATATATATGTTTAAATATATATATATATTATGTATATCATATATTATATATATATGTGTCCGATAGCACGATAACTCGAGCAAAAATGATCCGATTTTGATTCAATTTAGTATAAATGTGTAAACCTACATTTTTTCGAACGAGTTTACGAACCAGCATGAACTACTGGAACTGGGGTTTACGGGGGTTTAATGCGGTAAAAATAGGGGTTTCCCATTTTTGAGCAAAAAAACATAAAATTTTGCAATTTCTTTCCAAACCATTTTGTAGAGCTTAAAAAAACAAATAATTTAGTATATCGAAGAGTTACTATGCGCCTAATGGTTACAGAGAGAATTCCAAAAAAAATTTAATTTATAATTCCCATGTTATTCTTATGGAGAATAAGAAAACTGTTGTACAACTTCCTTACTTCTCGAGTGATGTAAAGTTGAAAAAAAACTCACTTGATGAGGTAATGAAACCCATTTAAATAACATAGAGTAGAGTGCTTAAAATATACGTCTATGGAGCCAACGACGTTCAATGAATGTTATTTAGGGTCTGACAAGGGAGGTACACTTGAGGCAACAATGACACCATAGTTTAGTTCAAAATTCCTCCGTTAACAGCGTTGTAGTAGAGAGCACAGCGCGTAATTTTTACTTCACTATTATTAGGCCTAGTCTTCTATATATATAAAATTCAATGTATGTTTGTATGTTTGTATATTTGTATGTTTGTATATTTGTATGTTTGTCCTTTATGGACTCCGAAACCGCTCGACAGATTGTAATGCAACTTTCAGGCATTATTAAGCATTATTCAAGGATGGTTTGTGTGAAGTTTGGTGCAGATCCGTCAAAAGGGCTCCGCCCCAGTGGCTCTGGAGTTTCCCATGTTAACCTTATGAGTACTCATATTTAAATGTAATTAAAGAATCTTAACAGCTGGTTCAACTAAACTATCTGATTCTGTGATGTTCAATAGCATTAAAAGTTAATAGGTTTACCAACAGGGTGCAGCACTATATATTTTTTTTTTAATTTATGATAACAGCTAACTTGCAACCTGGAGGCGAGTTAGCGTAGCGAACGAGCTAACCTAAAGGCAAGTGAGCGCAGCGAACGAGCTCCAACCTAAAGGTGAGTGAGCGTAGCGAACGAACTTCAACAGCTAATTAGCAACCAAATGCTGAGTGAGCGTAGCGAAGGAACTTTAACCAGGACATGATTGAGCCATGCGAACGAACTCATCTAAATCCACACTAGGACAGGACGACGTCTGTCGGGCCAGCTAGTTAATTATAAAATTAAGAAAAATTATAAAATATAATTTTAAAATTTTTCAATTATTAAACAAAACTGTCATAACCTAATCAAACGTGCTGATAATGAAAATATCGAATGAAGGTTTACTAATATAAATATAGTTTTGTTTATAATATAAAATTATAAATGCCAAAAAATTCAACTTTATAATTTTTTAATTATAAAATTAAACTGTCATAACCTAACCAGACCTTCCAAACTTGCTGATATGAAAAAAGTTGTTAACTAAAAGTTAGTGCTGCCAGCGGGATTTGAACCCGGCACCTTCGGATTATTAGCCGGCACGCTATCCACTATACCACCGAGGCCGATGGCTAACCTCCGTATCGTTGCGGTAATGGTGTTCCCTCAAGAGGAGATCTGACAGCTGACGTCATCGAAGGCTCTTCTGTACCTCTCTTGAGTAAATACCGTGAAAGCATATTCCTTGTTGAAGGCATCGTGGGCATCTTCCGAGATCGTAATGGAATCAAGAACGTACGATCTACGCCCATGGTGAAATAATGAACATCCTGCACCATTGCAAATAAGACAACACCGTATTTTACGATAATCGTAAACATCTTTCGTGGTTGCGAGATCTGATTATTGTCATCCGCGATCGCTGGGAGTCGTGATTTTTGATCGCGCAATCTTTGCAGAGACTTTAGGTGATCGTGAAAATATAAGTTCGACCCACAAGTTTTACACCCTAATTCTAACAGAGTATTGGCGAGATTTATTTTCCAAGATAAAAAATATTCGTTTGTGATCCCAAGTGAGGCCCCTTCCCAGGCCGAGGTCCTTGGCAATCGCCGTGTTCGCCGTTAGAGGAATGCGGCACTGATTCCGTGATTCGGGGGCCTATGTTGGTGTGGGGTCTGGGGCGGACCACCCTCCCCCCTCCATCCAAAGGTACACGCTACTGCGATGTAATGGTGGAAGGAAAAAACAGGTGTTTTTCGTTATACCATGTTCCATGTTATTTCCATGTTGTTACCATACCATGTTTCCTTCCATACCATGTTGCAATGTAGTCTATTTTTTTACTGTATGATCAAGCCAGTCGGATTTTTAACTTTTTTAATATATGTCCTTTTATTGATACTAATAATGCTTAAAGTTAACATGTTATTAATACTTACATAATAGTATGTATACAAATACATGTTAAACAAGAAACGCTATAAAGATTTAATATTATTGTGTTGTTGGACAACCTGCTCCGGCAACCATTTCGGATTCGGAATTCGGATATCGTCAATCGTCATCCTCCGTTTGCCGTTCTTTCTGTCTGTGTGCAAGAAACCAAGCACGTGTGTTGATACTTTAGTGCATACCTTATTCATAAATGTGTTGTTTATTATATGTTATTCGTTCTTAGTTCTTACTTTCTGTAAAAGTAGAGTTTTCGTTTTTCCTTACCAAACCTAAACAAATCGCCATGAATCAAGAAAAGTTGAAGAAACTTCAGGCCCAAGTGAGGATCGGAGGGAAAGGTACACCGAGAAGAAAGAAGAAGGTTGTACATGCTACTGCTGCAACAGACGATAAGAAACTTCAGAGCTCTTTAAAGAAGCTTTCAGTAAATACTATTCCAGGTATTGAAGAGGTTAATATGATTAAAGAAGACGGAAGTGTTATTCACTTCAACAATCCCAAGGCCCAAGCCTCATTGGCCGCCAACACATTTGCCATTACAGGACATGGAGAAAACAAGCAAATCACAGAAATGTTACCAGGAATTCTTAGTCAGTTGGGTCCTGAAGGATTGACACAGCTAAAGCGATTGGCTACAAGTGTTGCAAGCAGTGGC